TTGCGACTTCAACGCATCCTTCTGACTCCGTAAATTACTGTGAAGAAAATATATATGTCCAGAAGAAAAGCTGTTGTAATCAGGCAGTGAACATAAGGTTTCCCAACGTAGTAACCTTAAAGCTACTGACAATCAATGTTTATATTTTAAGCCCCTTTGTTTATTTAACCTCTCTGTAGGGTAGTATAAATAGGAAATAGTGGAATGCACATGCATTATTGTGAAAAGAGCTGCTTTCTCTGCATGTTCAGCTATTCTGTGTAAATTCTGTTTTCTGCAATATATGAAGATCAGATAAGAATGTGCAAATATTTAGAGAAAGTACTGTATAGTATGTTTATAATGAAACATATTTTCTTCCTGTCCTATTTTTCTGTCATGACAGATGACTTCCCCCTTCCTAAGTATTCTAACTGTATGGTTTTACATGTACAATAAATTTTCCTGGAACAGTAACCATCTGCTGAAATGGAAATTGCAATAAACGTCCTTACAGTGTTTTGAGAAACCTTAAGGAGGGAACTTGTGAATAACCTCCACCTGCAAAAATACCCCACTTAACCAGAAAACACCCTACATCAATCTTTGATGTCAGCGCTTTCCATGTCAACACAGGAATTTCCTTGTGCCTTGAGAAATCAAAGCATTTTGCATCCAGGGCATGGTTCTTCCAGGAACGGGTGTAGAACCAAAATCTTTTAGACTTTCCAGAAATTAATAGTGTTACAAAAAGTGGTGCCAGGTGAGCTATATATGAATTTTGCCATAGTCAGCTGAATTTTCATTTATAGGTCTTTTCAGATGAAAGACTACTCAGAAGTGTTTGGGACCATAATGAATGAAGAGTGCTCATTTAATGTAGGGAATGATATATATATATGCACATATAGGGCCATTTGAAATTCTAAGTTATCCAAGACATCTAATGAAGCTAGCAGATGTGATACAGTTCCTAGAGGAGGCCCAACTCCTTCTGAAGCAGCAGTTGAGGCTGGGTGGGATGCTGTACCTAGATTTAAGGACTCCTTAAGTGTCTCCTCCTGTTTTGTTTCAGAAAGAACTCGGGTATCAAGGCCGTAGGGTACTGGTTGAGGACAGTGAGGCTTTTTGTTACTGGTAGCTAAATAGGATTTGTAAATTCATGAGCAGTGTTCCTGATCACCCTTTTACCATTCATGAGACACATGTACCCAGCTGAGGGCTTCCAGCCATAACCCCAGGCAGCATTTCACGTTGCTCTCACCTCAGTCAACTCCTCATGCTCAACATCTCTGCTTCCCACAGCTTGCTATCCCACAGCTCCCCTTCCCATATCCATGCCAAATAGCTACTTGATGTGATACCCTCCTCAGACCTGGCATTTGTAAGTTAGTCTGAATCCCTTCTGCCAAGCTTCTTTCCTACTCCTCCCACATCTTTGCTTCAGTGAGAGGAGGCAAGATGACACGGGACAGAAAGGATCAGCAAAGTGTGGTGGAACAGGGAGGAATATTGGAAGCAGAAACTGGAGACAAGTTTGTTGGATAGGGCCAGGCAATAGACATCCCGTGGGCACAGACTATGCCCAAAGAAATATGATCCAGGTGTAATGTATGACCTAAAATCATTCCAGGTTCTTCTCTCTTGCCCAAGACAAAAGGAAGGTCTTGTGGAAAAAGTGGCATGACTGAGACTCAGAAATCACCGTTTCCTGATTGTTTTTGTCTGAGACCAGTCGGGTTGGTTTTAGCTCAGGTTGTGTAACTCAAATGTACATAGCCACATGTAGGTATCTGCATGAAAGTCCGAGCATCTACGTTCCCAGAAGTAGGCACCCACATTTAGTTGTCTAAAGGGATTTCCAAGCTCTTGACCTGAGCCCTCTGACTACTGACTAGGTTGTCATCAATTTCCATGGAAGCTTTGACACCCAAGTGTGTAGGCAAATAAATTTAGGGTTCTTAATTTGCAAATTGAATCCCATACCCCTTATAATGCTGTGAAAGTCACTCAGAGCTAAACACCAACTGTCTGTTTTAAGTACCTAACAGGTATGACATGATGTCTCCTTATTAACTACTTAATGTGACAGAGTTTAATTCTGGAGAAAGATATATGAGTTGCTTATGGCTCTTTTGAACTATGACAGAATAATTATAGCAACACCTAGGCAGGTGATTTGAAAATCATCCTTTCAAATTAATCAACCTAAGTTTTTCCGTGTATGAAGTGGGAAATCTATGCTTATGTCTCACTATGTGGCTTAGTTTATTTTTGGTGAGGAGCTCAGTACACTAATGGTGGCAATAAAAATGAAAGAGAGGTAAAGGGTAAGTGAATGTAAAGATGCACAGGAGAAACAACAACAGCAAAAGGTAGATCCTGTCCTTGCATTTGTGATTGCCAGAGCAACATTTGCACTTCTTTGCAATACACCTGTCCATGTTGGCTAAATTTGCATTTAAATCCTGGCCTTTCTACGTAGCAAAGAGCAGTAAAAAATAAATAAAAGATGAGCAACTTCTCTAATATGTCATGGACTTCCTTAACAATAATGGTGTTACAGTAGGAAAGCTGTTCCTGATATAAAAAGATGATTAACTACACCTTGCTTTGCCTCCTTTTATATTGAAACTCTATAGATACAACTGCACTGCTAAATGAAATAGATCTAGGAACAGTTCTCTTGAATCTTCTCATTGAATCCTGGTTGTGTTCACATTATGCAGCATTTAGCTTTAGATCCCTTACAGGTCTCCTGTTGTTGCTGTAAAATATAATTTTGTTTCCTGTTTGTGGGTTGTTGTTGGTTTTATTGTTGTTCTTGTTGAAGTGGGGTTATTCTAGATCTGAAATAATATCAACTACTTGATGCATCCTCTGTAAAAGTATGCATCCTCTGGGATGAAAATGAGGGGCATGCTACTTGTATTGGTGCGTGGTCTGATGGCATCGTGGGATATTTGAGATCACAGAGCCTCCTGGAATGGTTTTGGTGGACCAAAGAGGGAGCCAGACCTGCTGTGTACTGCCTCTTGAAAATGAGAGTGCTCTTCTGTGAGCTATGTTTAGGCACAGCTTGGAAGAATAGTGATTGGTGTGGGTCAGACCCGTGTTAGGAAATGTGATAATTAAAAACAGTATGGATTAGTACAGGTCAGTGCTAAATCCTGTGCCCTCTGGACCTGGTTAGGCAGCTGTAAACAGTAGTACTGCATTCTTGAGTGCTAAGAGATCTGTTTTTACAAAACTAGATCCAAATGAGTTGACCTAAGAGGAAGCACGTTATTCTCTGGGAAGCATGAGATAATAGTTTTCAGTCTCAGACAAAACAAAAATTTAGATTCTGCTTGTTCTGCTTGTGCAGTTCAGTGACATTGGTACTTGGCTGAAAGCATTTTGTTTGCAAATGCAGTGTCATTGAGACCCCTCTCCTGACCAGGAGAGATGAAAATAATAGTGAGTAACTAGCAGAAAGAAATCTGAGCAGAAATCCAGCATTAGAAGAAAACAAGGGGAGTTCTGTTTGTATTTTAAGATATATCAGAGACAACTTTATTAAACTCTATAACACAACAAAAGTACTATTTTGTTCAGTAGGATTTCAGTACTACTTATAGCACTGTACAAATTTGCTCTCAATTCTCTCATTTATGCTAATCTGTTGGGCATCTGATTTCTTTTTACCTTGAATCCCTAGTAATGTGGTGATTCATTTATTTTCACTTTTGTTAATCATGTCCATGCAAATTTCATTGTATAAATCCTTTAACTTGTTTATAGAGAAAGAGATTTTTATTTTTATTTTTATATAGTATCAAAGACTGTGAGAATAGTACTATTTAAACCACTTAAAAAAAAGTGGTTTTAAACTAGAAAAGTCATGAGTGTGATATGTGTGTGTTCTGTTTTCATTCATCTTTCACACACTGTAAAAGGAAATTAATTAATGGAAAGTATGTGATATGACAGCAGTTGTTGCTATAATAATATCATGCATACAAGGAATGTTGCTGAGGAAATTATTCCATACTATTTTTGAAAGGACTGTCATTGCAAGACTTTTTTTTCCAAAGCAAAGACCAATGATACAGTATTGCTCCATTTTTTTACAACCATTTGAAACTTTTTCTCAGTTCTGAATTCATTTTGGTTTGAATTCCACAGGAGGAAGAAATCCATCCTACCTCTGAAAATCTAACTTTCTATTTAAGTTCTGGCTTCACAGCCAAGTTGAAGTTCTTAGTTCTTTTAGTAGTTGTTTATATCATTTTTTAACTTGTCATTTATGTAGTAGACAAACCACAAGGTTAGTTGAATAATTGTTGCCTATCAGTGGATGAAAAATTACCCTGGTAAAGGAAGACAATTTAACACTGATTCCCACTTACATTATTTGGATATTTAAAGTAGTTTAATAACTAGCTTGAACCTCATTCTGGTTCCCATTAGAGATGCAAATTTCATTTATGCCCAGATCTTTTAAACTCAGAGGCGGTCCCACATACATTAATATCCTCATGAAATTCAGGGCAGTATAGAATCTGCCCTTTTATGAGCTGGCAGGATCTGACCAATACTGAAATCACACAAATGAAATTAAATCAGTGTTGAAATAGGACTGAAATCCTTAATCAATTGCATTGTGTTGTGCTGTGTTGGCTGCCTTTCTGAACTCCTGAAGTTCAGCTTTCTTCCACTGAAAATGTTTTTGCTCTAAGATCATTTATTTATACAAAAATATTAGTGCGACTGAACTCTTTTGTACAGAACACTTTAAAAGCTAACGTAAAAACCCACTAATAAATTTTTATTTATTTGCATCTCTTACTACCTCTCTCTCTCTCTTCCTATGTGTCTATATGTGTGGATATATATATATTATATATATATATGTATAACTTAACTTTGTATTTTTGTGTAGCTATATGACCTATTTCTTCTTGTTTATCCAGAACACTTTTCGTATTAAAGGGAACACTTGCTTTTTTTTTTTTTTTTTTTTGTTAATTTTAATGTAGGAAGTCTCCAACACCTACTTGGAATAAAGAAGACCAGACAAAAGATGTCCTAGAATTAGGTAAGGTACATCAAGCTTCATTTTGACTTTCATCCTATCCTTTAGAGCAGATGTAGCCAGATATATATGAAGTGCTTCTTTTGTAATTCTTAGTTGATTCAGAGTAATTGCATTTGCTATTAACTTATTGGGTTAATTAACTTCTTCCTAAGACTGTGTAAAGAAGTCATTAAGAATTAGTCAAACAAAAGGTGGCTTATGTATTTTTATCTGTCTTTTCTGTCTAAATCTATACTTTCTCTTTTCTAAAAACAGATGACAGGAAGTGTTGTCATTTTGATAACCCCCTGACACAAAGCCTACTTGGGAAAACAGACATGAATTTTTTCATCCAACATATTACATGGTGGTTTTTTTTGTTGTTGTTTGTTTGTGTTTTTTTTTTACTTTCAGTTGATGTTGAGGATGAAGCAACAACTGGAGAAGTCAGTAAGAACCTGAATCTTTCAACACTGCATATGCTTCAAGAAGTATCAGTATCAAAGGCAATTGATATCTCGCTTGCAAAAGTAAGACTAACTGACGGTATATACAAATAGATGTGTGAAAACATTATTTCTGCTAAGTTAGTCAAAGCTGCAATGGATTAATCTGTGTTATGTGTGTGATTTAATATGTGCTATATTCATTCCTGAGTACGGTCCTTATGTGGTATTCAGATGTAGTAATGTAAAAAGTAATGTAGTAATGTAAAAAGTAATGTAGTAATGTAAAAAGCATGTGAGAACGCATCAGCCGCTTGAACCATGGGTAACAGCTTTCACTATAGAAGTGTGTATTATTGTATTAATGCCGCTAGTCACCTAGTCAGTTTTACATGTGCTTGTTTACCTGCCTTTTAAATTGACAGTGGTTCATCAGTGTTTCTCCCTAGATTATCTTCCTTGTTTTGAGCAGCCATGGAAACATTAAGTACTTTTAATTTTTTCTCTCCCAGTTCAGACAATAAAAAAAAAAAAGATAATGAGGATTTCTTCCAACTCCATTTCTACATCAAAGACATGAGTAACTATGCAAACACCAAGCAGCGAGTTCTTATTTACTCAGTTTTCCTTTAGAATGAATACAATTTCTTTAGTTTAGCTGTTCCTGAATAGTAGTGGTCTGCAGTTGTTCAGGGCCAAGATCTGAATTTGGCATAGGCTGATAAGCTAACAGACGTAGAGCAATCAAACCTTTGAATAACATTTGTCTCATACCAACAACTTTGACGAGCCAAATAGTCTGCCTTTTCTCCATACAGTGCCCAGCAGGCTCCTTTTCTCCCTAACGTAAACCATTAGTAACCCTTGCTTTTCTAGCTGTTTACTTTAAGACATTATTCTGTAATGCCTTCATGGGAAACTGCCCAGACAATCTGCATAAACAGTTTCCTAATGCTGAGCAACACATTGCATTATGAGTTGAAGTAATATTGCAGGAAAAGGAAAAAATTACTCTGTTTCATTTGAGAGTTGCTATTTACGGTTAAGTATAAAACAGAAAAGGGTGGCTATAGTGAGTTAGTCATTACCCCGCCACACTCCTTTCTTTTCTACAACCTACTGCAGGAAAACATAAGCGTGTTTCGGAATTATTTTTAAAATGAGAACTTTTTCTTTCTTTTCTTTTTTTAATAGGAATTAAAAAATCTTTTGTTTGGCTCCAGTCTTTGTTGCTTCAGTGAAGAATGGAAAATACAGAGTTTTACATTTAATAACATACCTCAGTTAAAATATGGCATTGTGCAAAAAAAGGTAACGTAAATGGCTTCCTTAAAAGAAAAAAAAAAAAAGATCTTTGCTTTTTACACCAAGTTTACAGAGGCTGTGTGTTTCAGCAGTGAAAAAAAAAGAAGTCTTTCAGAGTCTTCTCTTTCTTTACTATTGCTGCTTATTATTGCTTTTACTATTGCTGATGATGTCACCTTGTCAGGTCACGTTAGGAGACTTGAGAAGGAGAGAATATTTCTGAGGGAAATGTAAAGTAGCTACAGAAAGTGGTACTAAGGGGTGGGGTTTGTTGGGGGGCTTATTTGTACAGAGGAAGACAAGCCACTTCAACTGAGAGCTAGTGAAGGTACAAGAATAAAAGGAGATATATCAAGATAAAGTCAGGGTGGAGATTAAGGGAAAAAGGAATTGTAGGGGAAAGTTTAACATGTTTTAAAAGGGATCTTACCCTATGCAGGCAGCTGATCAGCCTGGATTCTAATCTGACTGATACATAGGGGCAGACCAGGGACCTCATGCAAGGGATGTGATGTGTAGCTGCCTCCATGTGCAGATCCCATAGAAAAATGCATTCTCCTGAGTTACAGCTTAACGCTTATGCCCCTCCCTGCCCTGTGACTATTCACATGCTCCTGTGATACCCATGCACAGGTTCTCTTAAGAGCAAGGATCTGAGATCTTCAGTACAAAGGAGACATGGGAAGGAGTAAACTCCTCATTACAAAACATTCATCAGGCTTCTGATTCAGAAAATCTTCAAATAGCCTGAGAGGAACAGACTATGATGTACTACTACTATAAAGAATTGAGAGGAAGAGAGGATCTGGGTCAAGGACAAGAGCTAATAAACATAATTTAGATGTTTAATGAATTTATGTAGTCTAGTGAAGCATTTCATTAGGCTGATAGAAGATAACTGTTTATGTTTAAATAAAACCTAGTGAAAAAAAAAAAAAAGGATATTAAATGTTAATTTAAACTCCAAAAGGAACTATGACAGTAATACTGCTCTGGTAAATAATAAATGGTAAAAAAAGAATGTTCTGCATAAATGTGTTTATTTCAGATAGTGAATATATTTCTCCTCACTTCCAAAATTCATTTCAGCTGAAAGATTTTTTTATTCTATCCTTAAGTTAAGTTTTTGTGGTTCTATAAGAACATATACAGAATGCTTCCTGTATTTTTTATTTTTTATTATTATTATTTATTTGGACTGAGAGGCTTTTTGGTGGGCTGAAGTAAACCTTGCTTTTTCCTTAATATATTTCAAAAAATTCACTCATTAGATATGTAGATAACTATAGAGAAATAGTATGTGTATAATATAAATGAGAAAATAGAAGGTATCAATATTTAATTTATTTTTGGATTATAGGACCTTTATTATGTGATTGTGTCATGACAGCATGCTCAATGTAGCCCTTATTGAGTGGGGGGCTTGAACTGTATGACCTCTCGAGGTCCCTTCCAAGCTCAACCAGCCTGTGATTCTGTGCTCTACGCAGGAAATCACGGGGAAAGCAGTGTGATCCTGGGTCATGTTATGGACAATAACAGCAGCATAGATTTGACACAGGCTGAAATCTGAGCATAAACTTTCCAGAGAATCTTCTGGGTGTTCTGTGCTTTCTTATCCTCATTATTTATCTTCACCTTGGCAGACAAAGCTAGCATCGGTATGTCAGCTTCTATGTGATGTCATTTTAGGGCGGCCCTGAGTTTAAGTAATAGACTTTAATGTCAAGAATGAACCCATTTGTGGGAATGGTAGCATGTGCTGACAGACACATGGGAGAGCTTCTGTAGGATTTATTATGTTGATTCTGTTAAGTTGCAGTGACTGACAGCACTACCGATGTGGTAAGTGTGGTGTTGTGGTATCCATGATGTTAGTCTTATGACCTGCTGAGCCTGCTCCATCTGCACATAGGTGTTCCAGACAAATGATGGCTTTTCTGTGTCTCCTCAACAAACTACTGGAACAAATAGTAGAATAGAGGGTGGCTGAGAGACAACTGAGTGACAAGGGAAGGAGAGTTGTGTTGGATGATGTACTCTAGATGAGAAGAGGACATACCATTTCCTTCTCAGGTCAACTTGTGCTGCTGCCCTTGCCATACAGTTAACATATAGGAACAGGTCTCAGTCATTCAATGGAATAAGATAGGCTGGGTGGCAGGGAATATGAAAGGAGAAGGAAATGCATTGCTACACCATCCCACAGTCTGTCACAATGGCCATTAATCAATTTTCCATAACGTTTCATGTTAAAATTGTATGTCTTGGTATTGTGATTTTTCCAACATTGATTTTTTGTAGATACAAATTCTTTCATTTTATTCCTCTTCTGCAGTGAGACAGCTCCCCAGTGCAAAGGACTATACATAAAACTGAAATATTTGTTTAGTGATGGAAGTGGGAATTTGAGGGGAGGCATGGACCTCGGAGGAGTTTAAAGGGAAAGGCTTAATTTCACCCTTCGGAAAACAGTCAGATTGTGGTTTTTGTTTTGTTTTGTTTTGTTTTTTAACTAAAAGTGAAGGTATTTTTTGGCTCAATAGGAATCAGGAGATCTTTTGTTTGCTTGCATGATCACAGAACAGACTTAAAAACACAAAATATTCCTTTGATATTATAGATATCAGTGTGGCATGTTCTAGTTATTTTCAGGAAAAATAGATGGGAAACACAATACCAGTTAGTAATACTCATTTTCAGTGGCTTGCAAAAAAACAGAGAGCAACAGAGAGCATTGCAAAGTCATGGATAGGAAGAGGGATGAAAGGATGGATTAAACCTGAATGCAAACACATGGTTTGCAAAATAGTTTTCTCTAGCATCAAACAGTGCAAAGTGTTTTGCTCATGAAGTGTCCTACTATTTCCCTCAGGGTGGCCCATGTGGAGTGCTGGCAGCAGTTCAAGCATGTGTCCTACAGCAGCTTATCTTTGGAGACAGTAACAGGAATAAAGATGCTCGGTAAGTCAATTGACAATAGAAGGCTTTTCTGTATAGAAGCAAAAAAAAGTTTTTCTGTGATGCAACCACTCAGGAACCTTTTTGAATTTGAACTTATTGAGCTTTTCTTTGTCTCTGAGAGAGAATTAAAGTAGCTTGTGAATTTTGCATTTACTTCTCTTTTAACTGTAGAAATTTAAAGGTTTGTGTTTTATTTTTGAAATTACCAACAGCTTGAATTGTGGACAATTAAAATTATTTAACTTTGAGATTCCATAGAGATGTGATTTCAATGGAAATGTAATCAAGGTTTGAAAGACCATGAAATTCATGCAATTTTTGACACCAAGAATCTCAATAAGGATGAAATTTAAAAGTTTGATTATTTTTTGTTGTTGTTGTTCCTTACAGCTGTGTTTTGTCTTTCATAGTAAAACACTTAACAGAATTTAAATTCTGTATGAGTTTTCCATTTACTTTGTAGAAATAATTTTAAGTAATGTTAGCATTAAGGAAAATTGCTTATACTGCTATTCTGACAATATTCCTACATTTGTCACTTTGCTACACAAGCAGAACTTATTCAATGGAAAGTTGGAGAAGAGTAAAAAATTACTTTATGAACAGACCTGCTGTGTTTGCCTTTTTTGTTGTTTTTTTGTTGTTGTTGTTGTTTGTTTGTTTGATTGTTGTTTTGCAGTAAACAATTAAGTCCATTCAGAAACAGAAAAAAATAAATAAATCACAAACCTTTCCTGCGCTTTACAGGTACAGTTCGTTCATTATGAATAACAGTATTTTACTGGTTTACATTGCCACTACCTCCTGTTCTTTGTGGGTGACACAGTGACAGTGATTTAGTCAGCAGAAAAACTTTTGTGATGATATTTCACTTGGACTTCATAAAGCAACCTTGGAATGTAAAAAGTTCCTTCATATGTAAAAATTTGGCCTTGAATGCCCACCTTTTCTGATTGGAACTATTTTGGAAAGTTAATAGGGTCTCTGTTGACTTTTCTTTACTTTTAGGTGTCTGACACTTGATGTAAATTAATTGCTTGGGCTATTTTTATCAGTAATGGAAATCATTATCTGTTTTAGCACTAAGGATGGGAGGTGACAATTAATTGAAAGATTACCAGGGCCTAAGAGGCCTGCACAGGTGCACAAGTCCAGAAGTAGTAGTTGGTAGGCAGTCCTGAAATGAGATGCCTCAACGTAAGGCATTAGAAACGTTGAGAATCAGGCTCAAAATCTAAATAAAATATTGAAAGTTTTACAATGTCTGCTACTGTTGTTGTTGTTAGGTATTAGCAACACTGACCTCAAGAAAAGGGTCCAAGCAAATGAGATGCTATGAATTCCTCACTTCAAAATTAGCTGTTCTTTAAAGTCACTTCAGGATAATTAGAATAGACTGGTAAAGAGATGGATTCAGTGCTATGATACATATTCAGAGTGTAATAACATGTTAATTCTATAATATTATGTAGTTTAGTTCCTCTTCCTTTTTCCATTCAGTACTTTCAGAACATCACATCTGTCTGTAATCCACCTACATAGCCTACATTTAAGAGCAGACGTTTAAAATTAACTAACAATGCTTACAAAATATCTTAAAAGTCATGCCAATAGTTTGAGAATTTTCTCAAGAATTCAGTCAATGAGTATTTGCACATTTTTATTTTTTATTTTTTATTTTTTTTAGGGAATACAGAGATCATTCATTTGAGATATAGAGGAATAAAGTTACTAACAGTACAGGGAGAAACTATTAAAACTTTGCAAATATTTTCCAACTAGTAATATATCAATTCAGAAATCACCTGCTGATTGGTGCAAAAATTAGCTAGCAGTACAACAATTATTCTAACTCAGATTATAATGATGATAGATTTTTCAAGGCAGAAAATCAATACACGTTTAGATTTTATGACCAAGAATCTCCACAGAAGTAGACAGCCTTTGATTATCTGCTCTTTGGGCCGCTTGAGTCTCAAGTCACCCTTTAGTTACACCCTTAAAGCTGTTAACTTTTTACTCTTTCATCATGATGAAGTAATGGTAAATGTCATGGAAACATGGAGCACCCAAATAAGTGGGTTGAGGCCAGATTGCTTAACCTGTAAGTGCCCCAGCTCATGCCAGCTACTACCTATCCTGTGTACTTCGCAGTATTTGCCTCTCCTTTTTCTCTCCTCCAATTATGCACATGGTTTTAAAGTATTTTGTTTTTACATATTTTGTATATGAAAAATGCTGCTAAAGTATGCCAAAAGTCTCCAAGGAATTTCAGGTGAGCAGCTGAGCTCCTTGTCTTGATGCACAGAAATGCTAAAAGGCTTCAGGCTCCTGAAAATGAACAGCAAGATGGACTGCTTTATTCACAAGATAAGCATATTTTTCTTATGATGTGTTTGCCATGGGCAGAAACTCTTAGTCAAGCAGAAGGAAAGGGGAGTCCCAGAGCTTGAAATTAGAGGATTAGTATTCCTATTTAATTCTAACCTAAATTTTCAAAGTGTTAGACACTTCACAATAAGTGTTTGACTTCAGACTTCTTCACAGTTCTAGAAATAATTATCATGTATCCTTCTTATTCTGCTACCTCTTCAGACAAATAAATTAATTGCTATGCATCCCATAAATTTCAATGTCTGTGTTAGAACACAGGCAGAGATAAGAAAAAACTGTGATTTATTTTTTATTTTTTACTTTAAAACTGTCACCTATTATTTCCCATATCTCACATCCTTCAGAAAGGAAACATTTTCTAAATGCATATTATATTCAAGACAGACATTGAAATTGAAAGGGTGTTTAATTTTTTTGATCTTTGGTGTTTCTTGTTTGGTCTTTCAGTTATTAGATCTTTTACTCAAATGCTGGGAACAGGTTTTGATGTCATCTCCCATGACTGATAATATCTGAATTTCAAAGACTGCCATTCCTGAAACCAGTAGAGAAAAATTCAGTGCTGTGTTTTACAGGGAGATGGATCTGTTGTCTACTTCTTCATGCAATATATAAAGGCTCATATAAGTTGGGTTTTATTCGCCGATGTGCTACTTTTCTGCTAGTTTTCTGAGTTTTGGTTTCAAAGTTGTTTATTTCTCAATTCACAACTTGGAATTTAGAATAACAGGAGGTACTGGAAGACTTCACAAAATGCAATTTGTAGGAAATGTGGTGCTGGCATCATTGCTTACGTGTCTGGGATCAACATACAACTAAGCCTTCAATAGTTTTGCACATCATTGTGTATGTTCCAAGCCAAGCACGTAAATGAATCAGAATCAGTGGGACTCCACAGACCAATACTGGGTCAGTTATGATAATATTTTAGGTCATCACTTTGGAATCTTACTTACCTTATTTAAAAAATGTAAAGAACAATGTTTACTGCAAAAGGTATTTTAGTTAAAGTTTACTGCTAAGTAGGAACATTATGGTGTAGATTTGAAAATAACAGTTAAGAAATCAAAGCTTAAAAAATAAATTAATTATGAAGACCCTCATAAACTAGAAATTATGTATGAATGTATAAAACAATCCTAATACAGAATATTCAAACATTTTTATAATGGATTTAATGATGTACTAACTTATCTTGTCCATTTTTTTGCATGTCCAGTATTGTTCTCTAAAGTACATGTAACTGTATTTTTGCCTAACCAGCTATAAATATGTATTCTGAAAGAGCCGTTACTATTTCTTTTAGTAGGTTAGTTTTCGGTATATGATTATAGATCTGTCTATGAACAGTGCCAGTTGTTGTTCATACTTCATTTAGTCCTTTCTTAACTTCGATCCATTGAGCTTAATTATAAGAATTTATTTATTTATTTATTAATTATTATTCACTACTTGTACATCTGATACCATTTTTAGTATTAGTCTTCTACAAGTTTAGATTGTGTGTGTCACATCTAATATTCACCTGTATTAAAGGATTATTGTCATAGAACATATAGACATAGACCAGCAAGCTTTCATTTCCTTGGCTTAAATACCCATAGCAGCAGTCTAACGATCACTGTGAGTCATATGAGCTCAATTGGATCCCCCAAATGCAACAGATTGCTGTTAACTCTTGACCTAGATGAATTATATTTCCCTCAAATTCTCATTTTGCTTCTGACTGCAGAAGAGACCTACCCACTGTGCCCAGAGTTTGTTTTACTGGAAATCTAAGCAGAAAATTCTAGATACAGCTCTATTTACTGTATGTAATTATTTTCAGTGAGATCCAAGGTACCTTCTTAGATGACTAAAATGAGATTTAAGGTGGTTCACTCCAAGGAATGGTTCCAGAAAGACCACATTCCATTGGCCACTTCAGTTATAACTCCCCACTTAGAGCTCCTTAGATACAGAACAGCAGCGCCAAGCCCTCCTATCGCCTGTTCAGTCCAGTATTGAGAAGTCTTCAGGCTGTGTGCACAGTAAGTGCTCTCATAGTGTCTCATTCAGATGTGTAAACCTCAAAGAAAGTTTGGTTTCAACTGTGTCATACACCTGGTGTATCTTTCCAGTAACCATAGTGGCTTGCTGTTCAACTGAAATGATTTTTTGAACTGGCCTCCAGAGTTGTCTTAACTCTTTTTCTTGACTATAGAAGCAATTGAGATTCATAAATGATAATTTTCTGAGGTTACGTGCTGGAGCCTTACAACACCTAAATAATCTCTTTATTAAAAAAAAAAAAAAAAGTTTTTTTTGTTTTTTGTTTTTTGTTTTTTCCTTATATCAATTGTTAAAAACTGCTGTGAATCTGTGCATACTGTAACTGGGGCACGTTGCTGTCTAATAAGTAAACTTCTCAGTACACACTGCAATGATCTCTGTATCTTGTATTTCCCGGACCACAGCTGTCTTCAGCCTTCAGAAGTGCACAGGACCAAATGCCTCACCATGGCTCTTGCAGACATACTGTGGCGTGCAGGAGGCAATGAAAAAGCAGTTGTGGCATTGTAAGTAGGAGAATGCACAACACTGCTATAATTGTATCTGTTATACATATACAGTCTGTTATACATATACGTAGTGCACAAATGGAACTTCCTTAAGATGTATTTATATAGTCTAAAATGGCTTAGGGAGAAAAGGAAAATGCCATTTCTTCTATCCCAGTAACTGGGACATCACCAAACTCTCTGAAATTGCTGTAAAATATCCTTGTGGATTTCATCAAGGCTAGAATTCCTGCAAAATCTCTACCAAGAGCTATTGATCCAGAAGCAAAAATTTACTCCTGCAGGTTTATACTGCAGGATATTCTATTATGGCTGGAATTAATTTCATTTTCCTGCAGCTGCCTAAGTTGCTTAGTTAATGATAAGCAATTAGGCTGCTTGTAGACAGTACATCTAGCTTTGTGCTAGCTAGCTTTGACTGTACTGAATCCTACACTATATTTTTAACTGAGCTAGGTTTTGCAAGAAGAAATTATTTCTTTTATTAGCTCAACTAAGATAGCTGAAAAATAACTTACAAGCTTCTGGACCCAGAAGTTCTTCTTCAAACCTAAAATAGAAGCAACAAATTCAAAGATATTTCCAATGATATTTTGAATGTTTTCCGTTTATAAAATATTTCCTCTGTGATGATATTGTACATCTGTTCTGTTGCTTCTGTTTTAATGTCATTTCTCTCATATTCTTCTGCAATAAAAACTGTCTTTAACATCTTAAACTTACGTTTATCCTCCTTCTCTATAGAGAAACTTGTAATTCATATTAGATAGACTGAGAGAACACAGCTAAAGTAAATGTTTTATTGATGAATGTGTTGAATACCTAACATTAGCTTATTATGCAAGAGGTTGTCTGTTTGCTTGCTTGCTTGCTTGTTTGTTTGCTTTAAGTAATTTAAATAATAATAGTACAAAATCTTTGGTTCATCATTCAGTTCATATACAATGTTGGTATCTCTTTAATGTGATTGTGGTCCTTTTAACATGAGCTTTGGTTTTGTTTGAATATCCTATTTAGGCCATCAGGAAGACAGCAGTTCACTCCCATAGGAAAATACAAGGCAGATGGAATCTTAGAAACTGTAAGGCTCTGTGTAACTTGCAGTAACATTTTCCGTATATCCTTTTTGTAGCTTTTCTTATTTTAGCACAATGAAATTGATTTCCATATATCCTATGTTTCTCTTAAGTGTTTTTAAACCTTTAATGTCACATTATTTACTTGGCATCCAAAAACCAATAGGAAATAACAAAATCCGATAGTCTTTCTGGCTCTGAAGTGTCCCACTGCCTGTGGGCAATTGGACTTTGTGAAGTCCTTTTTGTTCCATCTACCTTTCAGGCTTATAAACTGTGCCTTCTTTTCTTGGTGTGCAGTAAAAAATGAAAGCAGATCCTTTAAAGTCAACTAGTGCAACCGTGAGCAGGAAAAGGCAGTACTTTATTGTGTTTTATGTAGAATTCTTTGCCTTCCCCCCCCAGTATCTCCACATAGCAAAATACTTTCCAGTTGTGCCTTTATGAAGCCCTCAAATGGCTTTGCAAATATTGATGCCATAAGCCAGACTTTAGTGGTTTAAGGAAATATTACTGGCCTCCCAAATGGAGGAATGAACATGTCAACAACTTTTCAGCACTAGACATTTTTGGAGCAACTGAAAGTGAAAACCTGTATAAATAGAGTGAATGCAGCATAAAAACTTGGCTATCATATGCTCTTCCAAGAGAAAAGATGTATTATTTAATATGTTAAAGTAATTTTGAACTGCTGGCCATTTCAGAATGCAACTAGCACTACTGTGCTGCCTCTAAGTACTGCTTATCAAAGATCATGTGGACATAGGCACAGTGAAAATGAGATGGAAAGGAAACTCCTGATAGAGCCAGGAATCTAAGTCAGAGTGCTTGATCTTCCCCATCACTGTATCCACAACACCATAATTGCTGTTAGGATACAAAGACAAAGAGAGAGACAGTTTGAAAGTAAGTGGCTGGACCTGTGAAGTCCTCTGAACTTCATGTTAGAAAGGAATATTTTTGAGACTATTCTCCAAGTATGATAAGAAGTGCTCTGATGAGACCTGCTATAGAAAGCTCACCTCATGGGTACAAGCTCCTGAGCTGTTTGCTGCTTTTGTGTCTTCTGAAGCTTCATTATTCTGAGGTTCTAAGAGTTGTTTTGCATAAACTATTAAAAGTGAAGCAAGCTAGCTGCACAATGAATTTAAAAGCTGTAAGAAGCAGCATCTATAAATTCAGAATACATGAATTGCTGAGATACAATTTTTTATCGAGAGAGATTTCATTAGATCTTTAAACCATTTTATATTAGTTGAAATCCAACCACTCAGATTTAAAGTTTTCCTTATGTTCATGTAATTTCATGTTTTAAAAAGGAATTGTTATTGTTTCATTTTTTTTTCCTCATATTTCTTCCCAGCTAATACTGCATAGTTCCACAAGATATGAAGATCTGATTGTACTTCTTCAGCAGAATATTCACCAGGTACTATGTATTCAGCTGCTAGTCTTTCTTTCCATATTTATCAATCTGATATGATGTCTTCTGGATGTAGTTTCAAAAACATGCTTCACATTTTAACAAATAGAGTGAAAAAGTCTGTTTTAACATAAATGAGAACAGTTCTTTCTGCTTTGTTTGGCTTGCATTTCCTTAGGATTGGGCTTAAAAACATGTACAACAATGTAAATACAGTTCTTTTCTTTTTCAGTTTGAAATTGGCCCCTGTGGGTGCATTCTTCTGACTGTGTCTGTCATCTTATCAAGATCTATCAATCTGTGAGTGTCTTTATATCCATTTGCATAAACTGCAAAGCAACCAAGGTGTGCAAAGCGAAAAAGCAGCCGTGATGTACTGAAGTTGCTGGCTTTTTTAATCTGTCTTGATGCTTACTCTGTTAAATATAGGGGTATTGCTACTTAGATTTACACATTTAATCTTGTCTTTCATTGTTGTTGTGAGTTTGAGATCACCCTTTAAATAGATACTTAGTTGTGGGTCACCAATATGGATGGAGTTAAGAACACAGGAACACAAGGTAAGTATGGCTCAGAATATGTCAGCTTTTTTCATTTTGTCAAATTCCACTTCTGTAATAATCTCCTAGAATTATCTGCAAGTGAAAAATGTTCCTTGACAACTTACAATAACAACTGACATGAAAAGAGCAGCTGCACTTGAAAGCAGCACGGGTTTGATTTGTATAAGTTGAATGGTGCTTTTATTTCTTGCATTACTACATTGTCTAGAAAATAAATAATGACTTAGTCCAGATTTGATTTGATTTTGTTCATTCAATTGCTCACCCACTGAACTTCCTAAAATCATTTACAGATATATTATTTTTTGGTTTTGTTGTCATTTCCTCTTTTGTTTTGCTGACAGTAACACTACAGACCATTGGCTTATCTCCCCTTTTGCACTCTGACATGAATGACATGATAATGTTATAGCATATGTCGTTCTCATTTTTTTCTGAGCTAGTTAGAGCAGAAAGGTCTACATTATTAAAGGTATTTGAGCAAGTGGTAATATACTTGTCACTTAGAAGGATTATCAAAGGCAGCAGCGTTCCTAATTCCTATTGATTGCATTACTTTACTTGCTATAAAATGGTAAACATTCTTTAATAATTTAAACAAAAAAACTATTTTTTCTTCTCGATTTTTAACAGTATGTTATGACAAGGCCAGTCAATTATCTGTGACTGCACTTCAGGTCTAAACTGAAGATAAAAATTCCTTGCAGCATCTATTTGTATTTTTTGATATCTAAATAGTTTTAAAAGTCTAGTTCAAAATGGCAGAATTGTTTAGAAAATGGAGTTATTTTCTGAGCAAGAATCACGAATTTTTCACAGAACTTCATCTTAAAGTACCATTACTCTTCTAGCTTGGTACAGTGTAATACATTACATAGGTACCTATCTTTTGTTTATAAGAAACAAGAATTTTTCTGTGTCACTAGATACAGTGGAATGTGTTTGCAAACTTTGCATAAGATTTGTTTTAGAAGTGCAAACTAAATTTCACTTATGTAATTTTCAGTAATAGATTCGAATGGCTATGTCAAAGTACTTCTCTTAGGATATTACAAATATCAAGACAAATAACTCGCTGCTCATATCATCAAGAAATATGTACCATTTAGTGGGTGTTACAGGCATTATAAGTCATTATTTACATAACTGGCATAGTTCTGGATGAATATTTGAAGACAAATGAGAAGTTTTTTACGTAATGGAATTTTCATCCAGCAGTAGACCTTCCAAGACATTTTTTTCACCTCCGTCTTTTAAGAGAAAATCAGTTTCTACATAAAATTGAAAATGCCAAGTTTCAATTGTCCTGGTTTGTGTGCATATTCTATTGAAAAAAATAGATAAATTATCTAATTTTTGTTAAGAAACCAGCATATTTTAATTTCTCAAATCATGTTAAAATGTTTTAGTTTGTTACCACAATGTTGACTGTCAGGAGGTAAAAATAGGTAAATCTCTCTTTTATAATTAATTGATATTTTTTTAAGATAGTTGTAGCCTAAGGATGGAATAGTCTTGCACCATGGTTACCATAAAACAGAACTGTGTAAGATGTAAAGGTCTGTCCAACTAAAAGAAAACAAAGCATTTACATTTGATTTAACAAATATAACATTGACATTTTGATTAATAAGTAATGAAATGTTTCTCTCTGTCAGAAATATTCTTCTCAATATTTTCTGTTTCATGAATATTTACTTAAGTTTTCAATTCAGGCCATAATTAGAATAAAATAACACATTATTTTGTATAGTGGGGAAGCATTCATTAATGGTTAAGAGACAGAACACTGAATGTAGACTAAATGGTGAGGTTTTTTAAATGAAGGATACGGACTGCCTTAGAGCAGTGAGATCTGCAGGCAGATGCTTTCCGCACCTGTACAGATGGAAGACCTCATGCTGTTGTGATCCTGCCAAATAATTGGGAATGATAGCTGCAATAGTTGGTGGTGTTCATAAGGATAAAGACCTGTTTGTACCTTTATTCTCTGACTAACTTCTGGCCATTCGGAAGGATCTCAATCCTGCCAGCAAAGGAAGAATGTCATCTTAAGTTTAGCCTTCTAAAATTATGCCCAGTCCTCCCAGCTGCCTCTGTAATCAGTGAGAAGAGAGAACATTCTCTAAGAGAGTCATCCCATCCAAAGATATCAAGAAACATGGGGAGAATTGCTGATAGGCAGTGCTTGTTTTTTTCCTTTGAGTTTGGAGAGGGAATGACTAGTTTAGGCTCCTATTTCTTAGATTTTTACTATTTTAAGGATAATGTTGTATCTTATCTTTATTTAAATTCTATGGAAATATTTCCATCTAGGCTCCCTTTATGCTTATAAAAAGAGAAAAAGGTCATGATGAATTTGACATATCAAATATCAACCTTAGAAAGAGATAAATCATCTTCTGAAATGCCCTTATCTCCCCTGTATATAAAGAAACTCTACTCATAAAGAGGCTCTACACCATATACAACATGTAGTCAAATAATTCTGTCTTTTAGTGACTGGTCAATAAAATGGGAGGTGACATGTTAATATTGCTAACAATTATACATAATGAAAAAACAGTCTCAAAGATACTAAGCTAGTGAAGAGCTTTAAAAAGGTTATTATGTAAAAGGAGAGAAATTCTGGCACCATTACTAGTAGTTCTCTGAATATATCAGCCCAATTTTCTATGATAGCCAAAATGAAATAATGTGTTGGGAATTATGGTGGTAAGAGAATAGAATAAAATGGCGATAGTGTTTTGCATAAATACATGATCTTCTCCTGTCCGTGTCTTCTATGTGGTCTTGTCTCCCAAGGTCAGTAAAGACACAATAGAACCCAAACGCACTGGAAGACAAAAGCTAGAAGTTTTCCCTTTAGTGTGGAATAGTTTCTGTGAGAGCAGATTAAATCTTTCCTCTTCAGCATTGACTTGGATATGATAAAAATGTGGAAATCTATGACAAGATTTAATATGGAATATGTTGTTTCACACAGTCTAAAAACATGATTGTCAGGGAAATTATCAAGCCTCAGATTTAAAAACCTTTAAAAAAAAAAAAAAAACCTACTTTTTCATCCGTAGCATAAGTAACTTTTGGTACTGAGAGATGAGGAGGCCAGAAGTATCAAGAAAGTCACATAAATTTACTGGAAAGTGCATGCTTCAGTTCTTTTAAACCCACATGCCTGAATGTAGCCTCCATGTGGCCCAATTTTTTGTTCTGCCTTGATGTTTGCTACTGCTGCTGCTGACTGGATGCTGGTCTAGGCTGACTTTGGTCTGGCTCCATGATTTTTATGTTGTTACCAAGTTTTTCTTGTAAACAGAAATTCCAGATTGCAGCTAGGTCTATTACCCTAAATCACCGAAACCCTAAGTATTTTTATTTAATGGGTCCACACAGCCAGGAAATGCGGAGTTTCGCACTGCTTTGTAGATTTTGCTAATGAGTTTATCATACTTCATACACTAATGATCATCACTGGTAGGACTGATAACAAATGGCCAAAGAGGAGTGAGAATTCCTGAGGAAGTTGCTCAGAACGTGTTGTTGCTTCTGGTACAGGAAGGAATGCTAGTCACTAACAATTGTAACTTTTTTTTTTTTTTACGACTAACGAAAAATTAAAAAATAGTGGACGTGTTACAGTTGCTCAGGGGACTGATCTTCCTGAATGTGCAAACTACGTACTAAAATCTTCATGTTGTTAACAGCCACGAGATATTTTCCATGTACCTGGGAGAGACCAAGCTAAAAAGCAGGCTGTGAGCTCCCGTGTGAACCATCTCATCACATCTAGCACTTTGCACTTGCACACCTTATTGTGCTTATCCATGCAAAACCCTTGCTATATTGTGATGTAGCCGGCTTTGATCTATTCATCGAAAAGCCTTTAAATTTCTTCCTCTTGCCAACCAGACCCACTGTTTTCATTGCTATATTTTTCTTAATCTGTGTAATAACTTTATTGAATAAAACCATCATTACTAGAAGCTATTAGAGCTAAGAAAATGCCTTAGGTCAAATTCCTTTGTAGAAAAACAGTGTATTGCCATTTGCAAGCTACCTGCAGACACTAAAGAGAGCTTCATCTGAAAGACAGACTCGCTGTTTTACTCACAAATATGCTGACCAGTACAATCAAATCAGCACTGTTTGCAGGTCTCTTTAGTTGAGTCATGCACAGATACTTTATCACTTACTGATAACAGACTGCAAGTGTAATGCTGCAGTCAGCACTGGTCATTTGGCTCTCTCTTCACTTTTTTTCTCTGAAGTGTTTTTGTGAGAATTAAGAAAACAATGGCACTATCTGTTAAAAAAAAAAAAAAGTTTTATAAGTCAAAAGGAGGCTGTGCACTTCATTAAGCAGGCCACTTGCTAATAAGCTTAGTAAAATATGAGTCCACACATTTTTCTTTAATGTGATCCCCTGCTGTAGCCTTTTCTTTTCCAGATAAGTGTACAGACCCCTTTCAAAATGATTTGTGATGTTTTCCTTTAGTGAGCTTAGAAGGTTTTGGTGTTGTGGGCTAATAAAAAGCTAATGCCTTTTTATTAAATGGGATAATGGTTCGATTCCTTATGAATTGAGGCCTCATCACACCTACTAAGTCTTAGTTACTAGTAATTTAGGAATCTAACTTAGTTTTCTGAAATCTTCCACCATCTAACAGTGATTTTTTTTTTTTTTCCTAACGAGAATCATACAGGTAAAGGTAGATTCTGTGTTTAGCTTTCATT